AGGGCTGCAAGCTGGAATCAAACCCACAACCGCTGCAGCAGGGACATTGCCTTTATGCACGGGACGCCCACTCTACCCACCGGGCTGCTGGGTGCCCCAGATTTTATATTTTTGACAACAAATCTGGTGAAAACACCAAAACCTAACACTCTCTAACTACCCTGCCTGTGGCGAGAATTGTTTCTACTAAAGACGATTTTAATCAGCGATCACATATTTTTGCAGAAGGCGCAGCAGTTTCTTGAAGCAGCTGGTCACTGTAGTTTTTAACACTCCTTACTGAAACAGAAGTAAATAACGATTTTGTTCTCAATTGTTTTCAACATTTGAATAATCCAAAGTTTGGTGCTCTAAAGCAGCAGCTCCCAAACTTTCTCCTTAAGGCACCTGTTTTCTTCAGTTAAATAAACTGAAGACATGTTTTGTGGAATTTTCATATATAGGATTGCAACGGTATAAGATTTTCACGGTACAATAACCGTCTCGGAAAAGATGGCGGTTTCACAGAATTACAGAATCAGTCAGTATCACTCCCTCCAGGAATTAAGGCCCTGACACACCAAGCCGACGGTCGGCCGTCGACCAAAGTCGGGCCGTCTGTGAGCGTCTGTCGGCCTAGTTTTTGCGGTGTGTCCCGCACCGTCGGCACTTTGGCACGTGGGCGGCTTTTCGGCCGATTGAGCATGTTGAATTGGCGGCGGAGCTTGTTGGTGAGAGAGATCACTCTGATTGGCTGTTCAGGTTTTATTTCCTCGCCCCTGTAGCGAGTGAATCTGCCTGTAGTGAAACCGGGGCTAACCGGTGCTTCCTCCTCAGGCTCCACTTCACTCAGCTGCCCCACAGACCCGCTGCTTCTTCACACTTTAACCTGAATAACAAACCGGAGCTAGCTGGGAGCGGCTAGCGGAGCGTTAGCCGCAGCATGACCGGAGGGAAGCACAGCCAGTTAGCCTCCGCTAGTCTCTGAGCTAGCCCCGGCTCTCCGTTTGGATCCAACCGGAGCACCGAGCCCTGGTTTGTTATTCAGGTTAAAGTGGGAAGAAGCAGCGGGTTTATCGGGCAGCTGAGTGAAGTGGAGCCTGCGGAGGAAACACCGGGACCGTCTGGATGTAATAGTCCGTGGAGGTGCTGCGGTGCTCGGCTGCACAGATAGGAAAAACATGGAACAGACACACAGACAGAGTTTTTGTCATTATATAGTAAGATAAATAAATGATGTCGAACTCACAGTGAAGAGTTTTAGTGTCAAGTTAACATAAAGTTTTTAGGTCATTTCAACCGTCTGGATCATCTGTGTAGACTTAACATTAAAACATTGTGCCCAGGATGGACTGAGGTTTACAGTGTGGAGGTACACTGATGTGTTATGTGTTGTTTTTGGAGAACAGTGGGGTTTTGTGGCTTCGTTTACACAGGCGTGACTTGTTCGTGTCATCAACTACTAGGTTTGAGGTTTTTCTAAAAGCTGTTGGCAGTGGAAATAAGCAGAGAATATAGCTGCCTTTTGAAATCATAAGACGTTTAATAACAGGATATTTATTCAGCGTTTTGGTCAACTGTTAGCCATCGTTTTTTAAAAACCCAAAGTGTGCTGAGTTTGATTCAAACCATGTCGCACCTGACTTATCTGGCCAATCAGTGACCGAGCTCTTTATCGAGTGGACTCAGGGGCCATCAGAGTTAGTGTAGGAAATAAGCTACTTATGGTGTTCCTGCTCAGAGGATCAGATTGGAATTGATACTGGGGAGTAGCCTGTGATCCTCTCCGCAAAGAGATGAGGGCTTGGCTGTGTGCAGGCGAAGGATTTCATCCCTGTCTGGCACCGGTGGTGGCTGAAGGGATGAGCCAGTCAGTGGCAGATGGGCGATGCAGATTTGAGGGGTGTAGCTGTGGGCAGAGAAACAGACATCTCTGTGTAGTGGCGAGCGCTTGGCCCTGTGACTCCACTGCCTTTTCCAGAGAAATCAGCTCCTTCGTTTGAACAGAAAAATGACGACTTTAGATCTGTTTATTAGGAACGGCCAACACAATTCATCATGTGAGCCCACAGTCGGCCCCATTCAGCAATGTAAGCAGTTGCTTTGGGCCCCTGGTCTCTGGGAGGCCCCGAGGAAAATTATTATTTTGTATTGATGAACAAGAGACAGTAGCAGAATAGAAATTTGACTTCCTAAACAAAAGCTGATGACATGATTGTCACACATGTATACTGCCAGATATTAATACATACTTTCAACATATTGTACCACAGTAGCCAGAACTATAACTATAATATTATTACTTTCAGTAATGTTGTTGTAAGCTACTGTCATTACCTGCATCTCTCTCTCTCTGTCTGTCTCTCTGTCTCTCTCTCTGTCTCTCTCTGTCTCTCTCTCTCTCTCTCTCTCTCTCTGTCTCATTGTGTCATACGGATTACTGTTAATTTATTATGCTGATCTGTTCTGTACGACATCTATTGCACGTCTGTCCGTCTTGGAAGAGGGATCCCTCCTCAGTTGCTCTTCCTGAGGTTTCTACCATCTTTTCCCCGTTAAAGGGTTTTTTTTTTTGGGGAGTTTTTCCTGATCAGCTGTGAGGGTCATAAGGACAGAGGGATGTCGTATGCTGTAAAGCCCTGTGAGGCAAATTGTGATTTGTGATATTGAGCTTTATAAATAAAATTGATTGATTGATTGATTGATTGACATTCAAAAGTTCAAAAACTTCCAGCGCACACTAGAATATCAGGATTGGCACAGAGTTTATTCAAAAATGTTTAAAAACAAAAGGAGCAAACAGCAATCAATCATTGATTGTCTGGTTGTTACTTGCCCTGACTATTTAAGCACACACCTGATGACAATCAAGAGCGAATCTGATGAAGCAACATGCGAAACACGTTGTTCGCTCCTTTTGTTTTTAAACATTTTTGAATAAACTCTGTGTCAATCCTGATAATCTAGTGTGCGCTGGAAGTTTTTGAACTTTTGACTGTGATTTATCCTGCACCAGCTGGTACCTAGAAGAAGCACTGCGCTGCTGTGCACAGGGATTTACTAGTTTTTTCTAAAACCTGATGACATGTTATGCCGTTTTTTGCCAGAAAATCGTGACAAAAATAATAAGCTTAGAGATGTGTGAAATGAAAAATTTGGGTAGGTGAAGGAGTTTACTGTCCCCCATGAAATAACCATTCCCAGGATTCTGTGGTAAAAACACTTTGGCAGGTGTATTAGATAGGATACGTTAAACGAGATTAAAGAACAAGAGGCAACACATTCTGGAATAAGCATCTACACAAGCTTTTCTCTGACCGCCCTTGATTTAAGTAAAATAAATTACTTTTGGAGGTCAGTTTAAGAGAATCATCCATCGATCTGATCTCATCAGCTCTGATCGGATCGACTGATCAATAATCCACCACTCGACTCAGAATTCCCGCTACTCAATTCCTGCTGGTAACTGTTGTAAAGCATGGTGGTCACCCGTCAGTCTCCCTGCAGGTCACCCTGGTGAATAACTGGTTTTCAATTGAGCCACAGAAGCCCTTTAACATTGTTGACGATATTATCACCACTAGCCGTGCTAACACTGCTAAAGGTGCTAACATGGATAACAATGCTAATGGGGGGATTGCAGCTCAAAATTGAGCCACTTACTCCCAGTGGCGACCTGTAAGATCACCAAAGGGTGGGCACAATGTTTCCAAAGCCACACTGTTGGGTCAGGGTTACTAGCAGTAATCACCAGATGAGTGGCGCTGCTAGCTAGCTCCCACCAGACTAAGTTGGTGTGCAGTAAGCTGAAGAGAAGCAAAATCAACCTATTGATTGATATCAGTAATCGGTCAAAATTATTCTCAGTTGTTAGTTGAGTAATGGTTAACCAGTGACGTCCCTAGTTGCTGCTAACAGGTCCCACTGTAGTCTTTACATGGTTATTTGTACATGATGTGTGTTTAAACTAATATTTACTACACACAGTGCTGTGTGAAGTGGCAGCATGTTACACTGTGGAGGGGGGCCCAAAACCAAACCCTGCTCATCTGGCCCCCAGAGGTCTGTGTTGGGCCCTGTGTTATCCAACATTATCCTCCGCCTGCTTTAAATTCTCTCACAGTGATGGAGGTGGGATTTGAGTATGTAGCTGATGTCCTGTGAACGTGGAGGTAAAGAGTCGAGGCTGTGAGTGACAGCTCATGAAATCCCAGGAGGCGTTGATGTCGTCTAAAAATGCCACTGCTGAACATTGAGAGCGGAGACGTTCTCATTATCCGTCCGAAGGATGATTTCCCTCGTCCCCACGGCCCTCGGCACACTGACAGAACTTCACAACCTAGCTGAACTAATCAGCCATTTCCAACTCTTCTTCTTACTCGTGCATTAAGTTCATTGTCAAGTTCAGCCCTCTTTTCTCAAGCATCTTGTCTGTGAGCAACAAAACAAAAGTAATTAGTGTCTCTCTGTTGCTACAGGCTTCTGTAGCTTCATCTAATCTTCCAGCAGCATACATATGCATACCCAGAGGAGCGCAGAGGAGTTAATGAACTATGAGGCTTTGGAAAGGGCTACAAAGAGAAACCGCAGTGCTCAAGAGGGAGAGTTTGGGAACGGCCTGGTGGCTTGTCTTCCACGATACATTACAATGCACATCTCCAGTCCGCCTGCTTAGCTGGTGAAACAAATTGAATCAACTCTTGGATTAGTGTCTCTGCTTGTGTAATGACAAGTACAACTGACGCTCCCAGAAACAAGTGGGAGAAGGAAATGATCTAGGCTTTCTCTGAGACAATGCATGTCTCCAGTAATTGATTATGACACAAGTCACAGAGGAAGCAGACATCTAGAAATTGCAGCGCTGCGTGTTGTTTTTATGAAAGATGCCTCCTGTTTCTGAAGCCGCTGTCTTTACTCACTTCAGTAATTTTCTCTGCCGTTTGTCGTGGTGTATTTCAGGATCGCTATCTTCAAAAGGCTGTGCTCTGCCTCACTGTTTTTCTCCTCCCACACACTCGCAGGTTTGCAGACTCCATTCGAGGGATGCTGAAGCTGATCCTGGTGCTGATGCTGGCCGGAGCCTCGCTGTCCTCCACCTGGTTCACACTAACCTGCCTGAGCAGAGTCACTCACCTTCCCTCCACTGCAGGTGGGTCCACAGCAGCATCACTGTCAAGGTGACATTGCATGCAGGCAGTGCAGCTCTGCAACCCTGAGCCAGAATGAATTCAGCAGCCAGTTCATTGGGTTGATGCAGCTTACAGGAGAATCCACTCTAAATATACTGTGGATTTATAGTAAATAAATAGATGCAACGCACACAGGAAGAGCTGAAGTGCTTCTTCTTTAAATTGAATCTTGTTACAAACATTGTTATGTTGTTTGTAACATTTCAGATGACAGTACATCAAAAGCAGAAGCACCTAAACCCCATCATGTGCAGTGCATCTGCTTATTTACCATCAGTCTGATGCTTCCATCACCTGCACCAAGGTATAAGGGCTGACAGAGCTGTGCACAAGGCGTGTGCTTTAAAATGAGTTATTCTGTGGAGTTGTTTAAGACCAGACTGCAGGTGCAGGATCTCTGCACGTCCTTAAAAGGTACTAAAATGTCTTGAATTCTATTGTTATGAAAAAAAAAAAAGGCTCTTAAAATTAGTTGTAGAGTCTTAAGGTTGGATGTGTGGTCTGCACCAAACATTTTATCTAATTGTATTTATCCATCTCTTAATTTCTTTTTGTCAAAATGAGTCAAACTCTTGCAGGAAAGTCACATTTCTGATGTTACAAATATTTAAAGCTGCCACTGAACCTAAAACTCTTTTTACTTCATTCCTGCACTTTATTTTTAGCGAAATGTAGATTTGCCTAAGTCGCTCTGATAAGCCAACCTGGTCTCACCCTGAAGTCGTCGAAATCCAGGACTTGGTCAGTGACTTCTGGCGTCAGACACCAATGAAAAAAGCAGTCCTTTCACGTTGGCATGATACGCAGCCAGTAGCCTTTATTGTTTAACAGTTACTGGCGGCGTCAGGGGGAAACGAAGTTGAAGGAACAAAACATCGGTTGGCGGTGTTGTACCGATGTAGTGCTTTTATTTTGAAAGAGTTGACAGGGCGCCCCAGAACGTCAACAACCAACACACCCAGGGTACCTTGGACGTCATATGTGCACGTGGAAAGTCCATGACCAAACACGGACATGTGACGAGGTCACAGTGAGGATGTGATGGATGAAGCATGTTCCTACATAAGGCCTGCCTCTACACAGGGCTACATATATATGACTGAATGCAGTGCTTGAATCAGTCTTAAATTTGATTAAGAATATTTTGAAAATGTCTCAGAGAGCATTAAATCAAAGTGTCTGATGGCTGCAGACACCCTGAGTTGTGTTTCCTCTGTATCGTGGCTCAGTTCATGTAGTTCAGTGTGTCAGTATTTGTACAGTCAGTGAAACACTTTGTGTTTTATTGACTCTGTAATTCACCCTCATATAAAGATGATTCTCAGATCAAAGGGATATTTTAAAGGGATATAAATTGTATACAGTAGGCCTGGGTGGTATCTGACTTTTAATACCTTCATATCTTCCTGAAATCTCAGCAGGTTATAGAATATCTTACAGCTATTTCCTCATTAAAAAAAGAAATATAACCGCACACCTTCTGAATTCAACTTTCTCTCTTTCACTGAACTCAAAGTAACGTTAGCTTAATTGCCTCGTTAACTCACGGTGAAACACACTTCACTGAAACTCAACAGAAACAAAACAAAACTCACCAAAACATGTCAGCCTGTCTTTGATGTTTAAAATTTTTTACTCTCGTCAGTCTTCATCTTGATGAATACTAAGATAAACTCGATGAGCCTCAGCTGATGAACGTATGTTTCACACAACACAGATCTGATCAGAGAAGCTTCTGGCACAGCACACGGACTGAGACGTAATATGATAACATAACAAAACAAAACCTGGACATGTAGGTCTTAAAATGAGGTGCGGTCAGGTGCGTTGTTGTATTTTCTTGCTGTTTAAAGGGCGTGTTATTCACATAGTAAAACACACCTATTGAGACAGGATGACAACATGTGTACACTCTGCTTGTTACACACAGGGACATGGGTACTGGGTGAAATAATACATCTTTAATGAGGAAAATATTAATTACACTCAGTAAAATGTGAACGTAGCAGAAAGCAGAGCTGCTGTCTGACTCTGCATTAAGAGACGCACTGTGTGCATGTGTGCATTAGAAGCAGCAACTTTGAGATAATCAAAAGTTTAGCTCTGTTTCCTCCTCTCCACACGGCAGGTGCACTCAAACACCAGAGTGACACCACTGCACCCTGCACTAAACTGAGAGGATCAGCCCTGCACTCAGGATTTCATGTCAGTAGGCTATGATACGCCAGTTATGGTCGCTTAGCAACCACAGACGCAACCGCCACCCCCTTGAAAGTAGGCACAAGAGTAGCACCCAACGCCTGACCTCGCATATTCCAGGCGGTTAGAGACGTGGCATGTGTTCAGTTCCTTTCTCTGAGCACAGAGCTCAACACAGAGCGCCAGGTGCAGGTGCTTTTAAAGGTAGTGGGAGAACTGGAGATGGACACGCCCTCAATGCACTTTAGACCACACACTAAAGATCATTTAGATTAAGCCACTGTGTGTATCTTTGAAGCCTCTCATTGCTCCAAGTGGTCAGACACTGCACCTTTAATGTGGTTGAAAATCCAACGACTGTCTGTCCAACCTACGACCCTCAGACCTCAGCAGGCTCCCACTGTCTTCACGGTGATGCTCTGCCAGCTGTGCATCGACTGCCAGCTTCACTTCTTTACTTGTTTTGGATAGAAGTTAGGGCTGGACGATTATGGCAAAAATAGTAATCAGGATTATTTTGATTGATATTGAAATCACGATTAATAAACACGATTATAAGTCGGTCGTGTTGCCTTGGGGGGCAGACACCACAGCGTGACAAACTTTGCAAACAATTTCTTTTTGCTCGACGTCCGTCAACTTGAAGCCAAAATGTTTCCAGATGACTGAAGTTGTCCTACCTTTCTTCTCAACCAAAGGCTGCCTTTCTGCCATGTTCTCAATCGCTTGCTCCACATATTATTGATCCACACACGTCACACGCTTGCTGCTGCTGCACATAACACAGGTGCATTCACGGTGCTTTTCCAGCACAGGAACTTACATACACGCCGCGCCGTGTGGTGCATTAATCGTTTTTCTTCGATTATAATGTTTTTATGATCGTGAGAAGCCAAAATTGAAATCATGATTAAAATTCGATTAATCGTCCAGCCCTAATCGAAGTCATGTGACGATCTTGGGCAGTCGAGAACACTTCACTGTTTGGACGTAAAAACTCTGTGGCCACTCTGTGCGTGAGGTAGCTGCTGTTTCATGTGTGCAGCAGCTACACACTAAGAAAAGCCCTCGGTGTGTGAACGCTCGCACACTGAGATGCATATTTGGACCATAATCAGCAGAGCCGATGCATTAGTAGACGTCAGTGATAAACCAGTTTGGACATTAGTGGATTTGGCTGCGTCCTCTGAAGCCAGGCCCATAAGCATATCAGCATATCGTTCAAAGCCAGTCATCCATCATCATTCTGCAGGCCCTGGCACTGCTCGCTTTCTGTCTCACGTCCTCTCATCCCAGACGCTGGCAGTCTGCAGCAGCCGGGCTCCAACCTTGTTCATCCACCTGGCGCATCATACGAGAGGGTGGTGCTGTGATACCACGGCACAATGTGCCAAAACACCTCATTACCCCAGTGTGGGACGGCCAGCAACACACACAGATCGGTGTAATCTGAGAGATATAATCTCTCTCTGAACAAGTGACCAGTCGCTTTTTAAAATAATATGCATGGAAGTGTCAGAGGGGTCTGTGAGACTGTGTTGTGTGTTCCTGTTTTACTGTTTCCTCTTTAAAGTAGAGCTGGGCAGCAGGAGGCTGGATATCGTTTAAGGTTCTGGATGTTGTGATATCGTCAGTGTCGTCTCTTCCTGGTTTTAAAGGATGTGTTATCTGATCTTTTCTGTTGGACTGGTTGTTGGTATTCCTGTTTTGCACACCTTAATCCTCACATGCCAAATTCTCCCATTCACACACACACACCCATGACAGAGGCTACACCCATCAGGATCTGGAGGAGCTGGGGATCGAACCAACGCTCCTCTGATTAGCAGCACTATTAGAAATTAATTTTGTCTTCCACCAGCCACCATTTTGTTGTCGCACTTTGTGTGTAACTAACTTTAGTGTTACATTTGTCCGTACAAAAAAAAACAACTAATACACATAGATCTCTGAAAAAAAGTATAAGTTTCATATTTCCTTTATTACCTATCAATTTTTAATTCTGTCCCTCACACACACACACACACACACACACACACACACTTCAATTGCGCAAAAACAAAATGCAGACACCCAAACAAATATATATTGTTATTAATCACAAAAAAACCTGCCTTATTACTTTTGGTTCCTGAACTGGAGTTGTTTCCTCTTGTGTGGACTCTGTGACATCGGCCACTGTCTTTATACCAGTAACATGTCGCCACATTGGCCTTAAAAATTAAACTAAAGGACAATTTATACTTGTGCATCAGCTCTATGCAGAGCGTACACTGCTGTGAGCATTTAAACTTGTGCGGTGGTGTGTTTGTGTCACTCTGCAGTTACACCTCCAGAACACTGGTGGGCGGTGGAGTTTCTGCGAAGTGCTGTAAAGTTTAGACAATTCAAAACACACATTAAACACACATTAAATGCACAATAAACACACATTAAACATGGCTTAATACACATTTTCCCCACAAATACAACATGCTAACATTATTAGCACAAGCCTATGGCATTTTACATTGTATAAATTAGCCTAGCAGCTAGCAGAGATTTCCTCTGCTCATATTTCAGCCAGGATAAATCACACACAGTGTGTGGAGGCTTTATTGTCTTCACAATTTATTGTTTCTTATCTGTGAAATTAAAGTAAATCAAAGCTTTGTTTCCACTGAGGGAAATGGTTTCAGCTTACAGAGACAGACAGGAGGTCTGCGTCACTGTGATGTGGAGTTACATTTCTGGGGAGGTGCACGTCAGGCGAAGGCGTAGGTACGGCCATACCACCTGGTCTGGGTTATTTCGCTACCCTCAAGGCATCTTATTGGTGTATTAGTCTCGTCTGAATGCAGTAGATGGATCAGTATTTTGGAGTCAGATGCTACTTCCCATCATCACCTCCATGCAGCTCATTCAAAGGTCGTTTTCAAGCATGGCTAGTCAGAATATATACGTGTCGTGCCCAAACAGCAGCATGAGGTGAATTTCTAATTGGAAATAATTGTTATTTTCAGCCCTGAGTGCATAAACGTGTCGTCCTCGGTTGTAGTACGACCAAAAAGAAAAGTCTTCTCTTCAGGCCAAAGAGGTACCTCCCATGATCCTCTGCTGCTACACTCGCCATGTGTTCCTTCCTTCAAGGGGATCTCCTGCTGCCCTCTGGGAATTGGTGGCAGATAACCTAATTCAATAACGTGCCGGTGAAAGTGCAGCGGGTGAAGCGCACTTAAGCGTTTGATATCAGTGCTTCATTAGGGTTGAATAAAGACGAGCAGGGGAAGGAGGCTGCCATTGATGGCTGCATGAGTGGCTCCTGGGTTCCCCATCACAGGCGGGCAGGCGATGGCCCTCAGAGGCGCCGTGATTAAAGGGACGTGCCGGCTAATGGGGAGCTCATTTGGACCAATCTGCTGTGATAAGGGAGATGGAGGGTGCCGCAATGCTCCAGAGGTGATGGCTTAATCTCTCCACACATCCACTCTAATACACATTCACACTTTTCACTTTATGTCTCAGCCAAAGGACCGCAGCCGAGACGAGACGCTGAGACGAGACCCTGAGCTGGCCGAACATACTGAACACTGACACAGGAAACACTGAAGCCCTGTACGCTGTAGCTGTAACCCTTCGTCACACAACAAGATGACTTCTAAACAAATCATTGTGGGGAGATGATTGAGCCAGTCAGCCGTAATCATTTTAAATTAATAATTCACAATCCAGAATTATAATTATTATTTTTAATTTAACTGAGAAGTGCACCCAAATGAAACCGGCAGCAACAGCAGCCAGCGTGGACAGTAACATTCTCGTCATGCCTGAGGAGTAAACAAGCCAAGCTGTTTACTATTGGACATCTGCACAATTTGGCAAAGAAGAAATTAGATTTTAATATTCTGTCGAATCCATGAAACCAACTGCATCTTAATGCTGAGTGTGCAGGTCAACTAAAAACAGCAACATATTACAGAAAGAAATACTGTCACAGTGCCACGAAAACCTTCTTGTGACACTCGATGACAGACAGGAGAGGTCCCTTCTAACGGAGCGTTATAAGTCAGGCCGGGTGTCAAACCTCAGTGTCCTGCATATCAGATTTTGGGCATCGAAGCTTCAGTGAGAAATATCTGGGATTGATTGAAGCTTGGACAGTTGCAGCACAGTAACATCGGCCTTAATTGGATTGGATTGGATTAACTTTAATAATCCCCAAGAGGGAAACTGGATTGCCACCATGGCCAACATACAGTACAAGAACAAGACATAGACAAAACATACATATACAACAACATCGCCTAGGAGTGCAGTGGTCCAATACAACAATAGCAAAATGACCAGGAAAAAATAAATAAATAAATAAATAAAAATAAAGATTAAAAAGAATAAAAAGAGTACAAATGCAATTTAAAAGTACAATGTATAGCAGAGTATAGCAGCAGGTTATAACAGCAAGAGAGTATAGCTGCAATTTAAAGTGCAATGTACAAGGAAAAGTATAACAGCAAGACATGACAGCAAGAGAGTGTAGCTACAATTTAAAGTTTAAAGTGCAATGTTCAAGGACTAGTATAGCAGCAAGACATGACATCAGCAATCCAAATTAAAAAGCCTGGTTGCTGCAGGAACAAAGGACTTCCTCAATCTTTCTGTGGAGCATCTGGGCAAAAGAAGCAAATTACTTCTGCCACTTCTAACAAAAGTGCTATGCAGGGGCTGATCATCCTGAGACAAGATAGCTCTAAGCTTCCTCCTAGTCCTCTGCTCTGTTATGACCTCCAGAGAAGCAGGGCTCATACCAATAACAAATCCCGCCTTTCTAAAAAGTTTGTTGATCCTGTTCCTGTCCTCCAATGTTAGGCTGCCACCCCAACAAACAACCGCATAAAAAAGGACACTTGCTAAAATACCATTATAAAAAACATTTAGAAGAGATCTGCTGATGTCAAATAATCTGAGTTTCATCAAGAAAAATAATCTGGACTGGGCCTTCTTAAAAATAGAGTTAGAGTTCATCTTCCAGTCCAGTTTACAGTCCACATGCACACCCAGATATTTATATGAGAATACAATCTCTACAGACTGTCCTTTAATCAAAATAGGAGTTGCTTCAGGATTTTTCCTTCTAATATCAATGATAAGCTCCTTTGTCTTGTCTACATTAAGAATAAGGTGGGATTCCTCACAACAACTGACAAAACTGTCCACTTCTTTTTGATAGGCTACATTGTCATTATTAAAAATATAGCCAACTAGGGCAGAGTCATCAGAAAACTTCTGTAAATGACAAGAATTAGTGCTGTGCCTGCAGTCAGATGTGAACAGCGTAAAAAAAAAAAGAAAAAAAAAAAAAACCAAAAGAAACCCAGTGCTTGTAGTAACAGTTTCTGATCTGCTGCCATGAAGCCTCACATACTGAGGCCTACCTGTGAGGTAATCAGTGACCCAAGTAATAGTGGCCCTCTCCTTAAAATTCTTCTTTCCTTGTTTTATGACTCGCTTAAGATTTTTCTGCGCCAATTTAATTTCCTCCTTATCTCTGCTCATGAAAGCAGCCTTCTTGATATTAATAGCATTCTTGATTTCTTTAGTAACCCATGGCTTATTGTTTGAAAACACTTTGATGGTCTTACACGGGATGATCATAGCAGTACAAAAATTAATATAATCAGTAACACATTCAGCCACTTCATCAATCCTATTAGAATTGTCCTCATCAGTAAATACAGACCAGTCTGTGCAGTCAAAACAGGCTCTTAACTCCTCACATTTGTCCTCAGACCACACACGGACTGATTTAGTGGAAGTTGGCTGCTTATGGGCCAGTGTGTTATATTTTGTCGTTAGCAGCACCAGGTTATGGTCCGAGCTGCCAAGTGGTGGCAGAGCAGTGGAAGAATAACTGTCTTTAATGTTGCAATAAACAAATCAATAGTTCTGTCGTTTCTTGTTGGGCAGGTGACAAACTAGTAGCTTAATAGCTGTAAAAAGAAAACTTTGCAGGACGGCTCAGGTGTTACTCACAGTTTCCAGGTGCTGAGCTTCTTATAGATTCGTGATCTGCCCGTTTCCTTTGGCGCAACTGGCGCTCGACTTTTTTGGGGTCGTCTCTGCAAATTTTGAAATCATTCGTTTTCCTTTTCAACATCTTACAAGCGTATCTGTAAACCTGTCACGTGTCCTTGTCTTTGAATATGTGAATAGCTAACTCATTAATGTTGATGCACAATTAATAATGTTTACTTACTATTTATCGGGCTGCACACATATATATAGTGATGTCAGCGGCGATGGTGAGTGTTGTCCTGTAATGTGCCCCAGACTCTGATTGGCGCCATCTCTCGCATCACTGAGGGGAGGCGTCATAGTCCGTCTACATATTCTGACCTCATCAAGGTCATCATGGTCGCTCCTCCCGAACACGGGCAGCGCCGCTCTGCAGCCGCCTCTGATCAGTGTATAGCAGGGATCCAGCGCAGGAACAGGACAGCAGCTCACATTTGCACCGTCACACCAGTCCTTCAAGCTCACACCTCCTCACCTTCTCTCCCAGAGTCCTCTGCTCAATTAGTTCAGCATATAGAAGAAGAGTCAGCTGTCCAGGATTTAGCCAAGTTTAGATGAATCAAAGGATTTTACAGCTCCTGATCTCCTGTTGGAAACTGATGCAGCACGTTTATTATCCAGCACCTGTACAGCTGTGAGCAGGATGCTAGTTCGGCTGGTGCTCATCGTCTTCAACTTTTTCTTGATGTGTACCGATGTTTAAATTTGAAACCTATGATGTGGCCAGCGAACGGAGTCGTAGGAGACTTTACAGACTGGTGAGCCACACACTACCACCATCCAACCCTAACCACAAAAAGCAACATCAACACTTGCAAAGAAGAGCACAAATTTAGCAGAGCGGACTGAGAGGTGACTGGAAACATCCACACCTATCAAAGTCACCCTGTGACTCTGCAGACTCCGTGAAGGTGATGGTTGGGTTGGCTCCAATATGAGATGATGCTTTGGTTACAAACTGGGCTCTTCCATCCGTACAGGATTTTGGTTTTGTGTGGAGTACAGTGTCACCTGAAGGGACGTCTTTCTAGATTAAATGTTTCAGGCTGAGGGTTTGTCATAAATCTGAGCTGCAGAGAACAAATGATACGATGTATGCAATCATTTTGTAAAGAGTTGTTCAGATGGAATTTAAAACCAGATTACATCATAGTTCCCAACTAAACTATAACTGACTGTTTTTTTTTTGTCCTTTCAGCCATCCTGTACACTTCCTGCATCCTGGTGGGCATCTTCATCAACAGCAGTGTGCCAATATTCTTCGAGCTCTTCATTGAGACCGTGTACCCAGTCCCTGAAGGCATCACGTGTGGAGTGGTCACTTTCCTGGGGAACCTGTTCACCGGTCTGCTCCTCTTCTTCCTCACCTTTTACTGTAAAGGTAAGGCACGTATAAACTCCTCGCTGCTTTAGAACTCCTTAAAGATTTAACTGCATTTATTTGTTCATTTTCTGTATCCACCGGTGCCCATTTATTGTCGCGGGGGGTTTGATAACACCACTTAAATATTTCTTTTGTGTTTATTGTCGATTTAAAAAAAAGTCTCAACCATCTGAAGTTTTCACTCCATTCAGACGCTTTTCGTCCGCCTGCAGGTTTCTCTCAAAAGCCACAGGCTCCATTGTTTTCAGAAATCTATTTCAAGTCCCTGCAGATGCTGCCAATAAAAGGCGGACGGTAGGAAAATTAGGTTACAATGCAATTGACACAATCAGCACAAAGAGAGAAAAACTCCCTGATGTAATTCAGCCGCTTGTTTATCTCCGAGTTGGCTGCAAAGTTTGATGTAAAGATTTCAGCCCACAGCAGAGAGGACAGCGTGTCGCCTGCTTCTCCTCTGCCTCCGCCGGCTTCCACAGGAGAGAGCAAAATCATAAGGAAACCGAGCTCAATCATCCATGTGAGAGCCTGCGTGTGTGCGGGCTGTTTCTGGTGTGTATGCAGAACCATGTTTCGCTGGGTGAATCCAGCTCCACTGTGATCTTTGCCCATCTGTCTTCACTTTCATTAACCTTCCCTCTAAGTTTTTCAACATGGAGGCACCAATCACCTGGAATGACGGATCCATCCCTGATACTTACTCCGTCTTCCTGTTTCTTTAGTAAATAAGAGATACATTTTCACACCCTCATGAATATTCACCAGCTTCTTCCTCCTCTGCCAACTCCTTCTGATTGCTACGAGGCTGCTGACAGCTGCTGCCTGACAACTGTATCTTGATCCTGCCTTCTGGGTTGTGTTGCCAGTGCAGGTGGATATTATTATTGTTTGACCTGAGCAGCCGTGGGGCCCCGCAGCCCTCGGGGCGGCTAACAAGCATGACAGCCGCGGCACAGAAGCAGCTCGTCTCATGGAAAAAAGCAGAAAACAGCAACATGTACACGACACAGAGATGTTAAGGTTACAGCCAAGGATTGTTGTCATCATGGATTCACCTGTTGATCATATTCTGATTAAATCAGGGCTGCAGCTGTCGATTGTTTTAGTGATCAAGTATTCTACCAATTAATCCATCGATTAATCGAGTAATTGAATAAGAAATACTTTTGTTTTATTAAAGAGAAATAGTTAATATACAAAAGAGAAAATAAAGCAGGTTTCCTCAATTAACACACAACTGGTTTACTTTGTAAAAAAATGTTTTTGTGTACAGTAATGAGGCTCCAGTCGCTACTTACACAACCTGATATTTTGGTTTTGAGGTTATTTTATGCATCGCTGTGAGGGAAGTACTGTAGATGTGTGTGTATCATAATTATAACATGACTGACGCTCAGGCTTTCACAACTTGACTGCATCATTTAATTTTCTGTGCTTATGTGCCAGTTATGTTAGTTAAGTTTTGCACAAAAAAAAAAATCAAATTCTGCAGTCAAAACCACAGAGTTCCCCACATCATTAATTTGTGGCGGCACGCCACAATTAAAACATCTGCCGCCATGTTTTTATTTTCTATATTTGGAGCTGGACTGTTTATTAAATGTGCTTTAAGATAACGTTCATATAGCATTGCTCCACACTCACAGCACAGAGCGTAGTCCGGGCACAGACGGAGCAGCAGAATGCCTGGCATCTCAAAAGCGAAACTTCGCTGGGTCTAAAAGTTTACTGTCACTCACAGACAGCTGCTCCTATCATCCATTGATCTGATTAGCTGTGATCGGATTGACTGATCAGTTATCAAACCTGTGACTCAAAACTCCACAAACTGCTACTGAGGGACAAAATAAAGAGAGTTCTGTCTGTGCTGTGTTCACGGGCCTGCAAAACCTCAGAATTTAGGAGTTGGACGCACACTCGCAAGGACACAGGCAAGAAAAAAGTGTTAGCAGCCCCTCCTCCTATCGTCAGCAGCTACCACCACACATAGATCCTAATTCTGTTGGAAACACCGCACCATCTTGATTTACCCTCTTGAAAAGGAAGCTTTTCTGATTTTCAACCAGCTCTGTGTCACCACAGTTTGGGCAGTTTGTGCAGATGAACAGTGTTCGGCTGCTGGTGATGCGCGGGGTGCTCCTGGCACTAGCAGCCATAGGAGAGGCAGAGCATTGCTCATTTGCACTTAACGTTTCTCTCCTAATTACAGCAACACGGAGATGGTTAAAAATCTGCATAAGTAGCCGTAATATACATACACTCTTTAGGATTCTTCATCTCAACTAGTAATCATATTGATTTATGTTAAATGCTAACTTTAGTGTTACCTTGTGTAACTGGACGCTTCCTAAAGCATTGACGTCGAGCCATTATGGGAGGCTAGTTTGGTTTTACAACAGACGCACTGTGCAGACTTTTGGTTTTGTTCCAGCTTAAATTGATCCCAAACTTTCTGTCATTTTCTCCGGCCTGTTTCTTCTCATCGCCCTTATTTTCATCGTCACCTCTTCACAGCATGCGGGCGTTGTTGCACAGTAGTAATAATTTGTGTGAAACGCAGTATGCTGTGTGTAGGTATGTGGATTTAACAGAGCTTTGATGCAATAAAATTGCACCTATGATTTCCAGTTATCTCGTTACTCAAGTTTCTCTGGAGTCGATTCAGCCGGCGATTAAGTGATGAATAGTTTGACTATAACATGTCAGAAAAGGTGAAAAAAGGTCCATCAGAGGTTCTTAGAGCCCAAATTAATGTCTTTAAATTGATCAACAAATTGTTCACTTGTTAAATTTATTTTTTATCCGTCTGTGTCCTAATATTCCTGAGAGAGAAGTGTGTATGAGCTCAGTCGTACTTTAAGGATCGAACTGTAGTCCTTTATTTTAGGAGTCGAGGTGGCTCCCAGCTATTTAAAACCTTTACCTCAAAAAGCTGCCATATTTTCTCTGACACATCTTGGTGCCTCTGAGTCTCCTGTCTCCTGATCTCTTTGAGGAGACATTTTGGATTCTATATTTCAACATTTACCTGCTGCTGTGACAGCTTTCTTTCCCAAATAGATTTTTAGTGTAGAGATACTCTGAAGCTCTGATTGTTTTCCTGCCAAAGTGGCTCATAAAGAAGAGAACATTACCGCAGACTGCCAGAGCAGACATTTGGCACTCATTTGGTATCGATCTGCAGCAAAAAAGGCACTTCAAGAAAGTCATAATGTTTTATTTCAGGATTTTAAAATCAGATTCTTCACAAATAAATGATGTTTGTTCGGCAGCGTTTGCATCAGGAGCTGCTCTCGTGTTTTTGTTGTTTAAAATCTTGTCAGATTTAAATCACATTGCTGCACTTGTACTAAAAAAAAGACGTGATTCTGGAAAATTCTATAAATAAGGTGAATAATGAGCCTCAGTTTGAGATGGTGGAGTCCTTAAATGCACCTTTGTTGCAGGACTAAAGCCCTGGACTGAAACACAGAGCAGATGCAGGTTTGGCTCAGGCCAAGTCCACATGGACACAGACCTTTTTTTAAAGAAACATTTCACACCAGCGCTGCTATAAAAAAAAAAAATCCATCTAAATGAAAACAGAAGACAACAAAGCACTGTGAGCAGCATGTCAGGACAACAAGCAACCCTAACCCTAAAGCAACGCAAAGAAGAAGAAGATGTTGCCCAAACAGAAACCTGGAAAAAAGCCAATACCAGAGGTGTATGTATAGCAGTGACCTCTGTGGTGCATTCTGACGCCTCCGTTCCTCAAAAAAGCTGAAAATTATCTCTATATTTATGTGTAAACATGTGGAAGGTCCTGTTACCAAGATTAGAGCCAGCACAGTTTTGGCCATGCCCACTGTTGGACCCCCATCTACAGAGTAAAAGTAAATGAAACACTGCTGAACGCTGTAAATATTAATGTTACTTACAAAGAATAAAGCTCTGACGTCAGGGTGAGCCAAAGGCCAAGATAACAGACAGAACCAACCCGTCTTTACCAAACAAACAGACAGACAGTTATCAGGCCTGACTCCCAGAATAAACAAAACCAGGAAAAAATGGTGCTCAACAAAAATGACAGTTCACCCCTACAGCTTCGTGCTATGATGTAATTTAAGTGTTTATGCTCTTTATAATATATACAAGAGATGTAGTTCCTGGGAATATGCTACACACAGGTTGCAGGGGCTTCATGTAGCTAACATTAGCTAGCTAGCAACATCAGTTAGCATCACTAACATCGCGGTTTGAAGGCCCCTTGGATTTTATAGCATTTGTATTGTTGGCTGTTCGAGTGTTTTGAAACCCTGTACTTGCAGTGAGAAGTGTCGTCCTCTGCCGCCCCTGCTGCTGGTGGTGTGTGAGACGCCAAATTCTTGTAAACAATCCACTCTCACCAGTGTTTAGTGTACTTGAGATAAGCTGGGCCACCAACGATTCATCGGTTGCATCCTCCAAATTCTAGGAAAGAAGGCTGCATTTGAAGGAGCCTTTGAAATGGGGCAGCCTTGGTCGTGCTGATTTGACGCAGTCGGCCTTCCAACGCAGTCTTCGAAGAGAGACACAGCTAATATCTAACATTAAGCAATATATTAAGCAACTGTACAGGAAAGAGTAGCTTTATTACTGCCGCATTTGTCTGTCCATGTCGGCATGGTGTCTAAAATCAGCGCCGTTGCAAAGCTGTCATAATAAAGGGTCTCGTATCGGCCCTGTGACTCAATCTGTGAGAAGAACGCTCAGCTGTCAACATTGACCTTCATTATCATCTTGGACAACCTGGACATTAAATAGACCTGAGTGTCCCCGCCCTGGACAGAGTTTAACAAAAGGTTCATTTTAACCTCAAACACTGTTTGCGTGTCGACAAAAGGCCAAAAACAAGCCACGTTTTAAAATATATCCGTGTACGTGTGGACGAGACCTCGGTATGTTTAACAGGGGGAGTTTGAAGGGTTGAGACTGAGGCTGGAGGGAGGTGGAGTGTATTAGTTTAATTTAGTTTCCAC